GGTGATTTCTTGCTTTCTGACTCTGTCTCTCTCTGGTATGCTCTGGGCTGGAAACTATACTGGGTAAATATTACTGTATAGCTAAAGCTGGGGTAACTGATGACATTTGTATGTGGATTGTAGATAAGATGATAGATAGTATTGTATCAACATGGAATTTCCTTAATGTGATCATTATACCGGGGTTATGTGAGAGAATATACTTGTTTTTATGAAATACACTAAAATAGTAATGGGAAAAGGGACTAATATGTGTAAGTTACTTTGAAATTGTTTAGGAAAATTATGCACAAACACACACACACACACACACATACACACACTCACACATAAAGAATGATAAAGCAATACAAGTGTACTAAAATGTTAACCAGCTGATACAGTATATATGGAAGTTTTTAAAATACCATCATTATAACTCTTCTTAAGTTTGAATTTTTGTTTTGACAGGTTTTCGCTATAGGGCACGTGCGCTCGCCAGACAGAGAGAGACAGAAAGACAGAAAGTGAGAAATCACCCCCCAGGGGGGATGGCCACGCCGCAATCCCTTCTCCTCCATTCTCCTCTCAGGATCTTGGGCACGCACGCACGCACGCACGCACACACGCCTGGCGTGAGTTTTAAGCCACCTGGTACAGGATGCCAACCATGGTTGACTACATGGGAGTCCAGCGACATAGCCATTACACTAACTGCTGGTCCTTCTGTTACTTTCTTCAGGCAGTAGCCCTGCTGTCAGTTGGCTTTCTGAGCTTGACTGAAATTAACTTCTAGACTTCTCATACCAATGAAGTTATGTTATTTGGGCAAAACTAAGATTTGAAGAAGATATGAATCCAACAAGATGTTAGTTCACAGCCTTCACGTGGCACAGGGGTTATTGAGAAGTGTGTTGTTTATGTTCTACATATTTGGATGTTTTCCAGCTTTTTTCCTGTTATTGAGTTCTAATTTAATTCCACTGTGGTCATACTCTGTATGATTTAATTTACTGAGATCTGTTGAATGGCTTAGGATATGGTCTGTCTTGTTAACTGTTCCAAGTATACTAAAAATGGAATGTGTACTCTGTGGTTGTTGAGTATTCTGTCAATCTCAATTATGTGAAGTTAGTTGATAAATTATTTAAGTCTTTTATATCCTTACTGAGTTTCTCTGCTTGTTCTAGAAACTATTGAGAGGAGATGTTGATGTTTCCAACTATGATTGTAAATTTGTCTATTTCTCCTTTGAGTTCAATTAGTTTTTGCTTCATGTATTTTGAACTTTGATATTAGGTGCATAACTAGAATTAGTGTGTCCTCTTGATGAATTACCACTTTATCACTATGCAATGACCCTGTTTATCCCTAATAATATTCTTTGCTCTGACATTTACTCTGTCTGATTTTAATACAGAAATTCTACCTTTGGATTAGTATTTTCAAATATGTATCATCTATCCTTTTGCATTAGCCTATTTGGAGCTTCATATTTAAAGCAGGCTTCTTTTGGATAATATACAGTTACCAGAAAAGAAAGCCTAGAAGAAAATCATCAATGTTTCAGTCAAAAGTCATAAAATGCTATTTCACCAGTTCAGTCTCATGTACTTAATCTATCTTCTGTTGTGGTTTGATCTTCCTGATTAAATTCTGGGGTATAATATTCAACTCCAAACCTATGATTAAGTTGGCCATTTTCTTGGTTTTTGAACTCATTGTTGTGTGTCTGTATTTAATTTTTCTGGTCTAGCACTCCCTTCAGAACTTCTTGTAGATCTGGTCTGGTGCTGGTAAATTCTTTCAGGTTTTGTTTATCTGAGAATGTTCTTTTCTTCCCATATGAAGGATAATCTTGCCAGGTACAGTATTCTTGGTTAAAATTGCTTTTCCTCTAACATTTTGAATAGACTTTCCTATTCTTTCCTCACTTACATTGTTTCTGATGAGAGGTTCACTGTTAGCCTGATGGGCTATCCTTTGTAGGTAACTTGACGTTTCTCTCTTGCCAACCTTAGTATCTTGTCTTTGTGATTTTGTTCAATCTGACTATAATATGTCTTGGAGAAGATCTTCTTGCTTGATTCTATTTGGGGTCCTTTGTATTTCTTGAATATGGATCTTTGAGTGCCTTTCTAGGTCTGGAAAGTTTTCTTCCATGATTTCATGGAATAGATTATCAATACCCTTATGAGTCTCTTCCACTTCTGGGATACAAATTATCTGGATGTTTGGACATTTGATGGTATCTAGTATTTCTCATATATTATTCTCATTTTATGGGGCAATTTTCTCAGTCTTTGTGGTGGAATTTTCTAGGCCAGTGATTCTTCTACATCTGATATTCAATTTTTTTTATGATCTAGTCTGCTTTTAATATTTTCAAGGGAGGGTTTTTTATTTTTTTGGAGAGATTTTCACTATAGGGCGCATGTGCTCACCAGACAGACAGAGAGAGACATAGAGACAGAAAGCGAGAAATCACCCCCCCAGGGGGGATGGTCACACCGCAATCCCTTCCCCTCCATTCTCCTCTCGGGATCTTGGGCATGCACGCACACACGCCTGGCGTGAGTTTTAAGCCACCGGGTCCGGGACTTGAACCGCGGTTGACTATGTGGGAGTCCAGCGACATAGCCATTACGCTAACTGCTAGTTCTCAAGGGAGGTTTTGACTTCCTGTATTATAGCCTTCATCTCTAACAGGTCCATTTGATTCTTTTTTTTATAGTGTGTATTTCCTCTTTTAGATCTTGCAAGAATTTCCTCACATCCTGCAACTCATCAGCTCCTTTCTCCTGCCTCTTCTGCAGTTCATTGTCTGTCTTCTCTTCCATTTCTGTTAGCTTTGTCACTATAAATATTCTAAATTCTTTATCTGACATTTCCATGAGTTTCATTGTGCTGAGGATGAAGAGGAGTTATTATTTTCCCTGGGAGGAGAGGTATTTTCTTGCTTTCCCATATTTCTTGTGACCCTGCAATTATTTCTAGTCATCTGATGGATGGTGCATTTCTTCCTAATTCTTGAAGTTCAATCTGAGCGTTCAGAGGCATGCAGGAGGAGGTGATCTGCAATCTCTCTTCTGTTCCATTTTCAATCTTTGTGCATCAGATTCAGTGGGAACAAAGGAATATTCTGACCCTAATCATATCAGATGTTTGGATCCTGTTCACTTGGACCTGTCTAGACACTTAGTGCATAGAGGCCACTAGAAATGAAATTGGAGGGAGAAGTCTCAGCAGAAAATCTTCATTTTTAGTCAGGGATAGCAATATTTTACAGCTCAAATTTGGTATCCATCTCAGTGGGGCTTGCTTTTTTAAACATCCAATTTTATACTAATAATTTGTGACTTTTAATTTATATTTTAGACCATTTACATTTAATGTGGTTATTTATATGATTTGGTTTAAATCTACCTCTATTTGTACCTTTTGTTATTTGATCAATTTTTCCTCTT